AAATTTTAAAAAGCTAAAAAAACTTGACATCTGACACAAAATTCTCCGTTCACGCAACTCAATGTTTTTCCTTGCTAAGAAACCTAAAAAATCAATACATGCCTCTCTTGGGCGAAGTCTAATGTTTTAAATAGGGTTTAGGTCTAAAAATCCCGTAATTGACACTTTGGTCCCTGAAGTTTACTGCGCCTGCCGCGGTTTTGCCGCGGTCGCGGTAGAACCGCGGCCAAACACCCTCGCGGAATCTCAATCTTCTGCAGCTGCTTCCCACCGCGGTTCTACCGCGGTCGCGGTGGAACCGCAGTGGATCCAGTTCTCTGAATCTTCGGCCTGTTTTTGCACGGGTCACTTGGGAAATTTCCCAGTTGGCCTCTTTTCATCACTTTTGACTCCAAAACTGCTCCTTAGCCGTCTTTATACATATATCACCTACAAATCATGAAAAGCACTAATAAGAGCATTTTGTCATCACTTTTAGCATTAAAACTACACAAGAAGGTGATTATTTAAGGTGTGATTATAGTCAAATTCACCTATTATCACCTAACCTTGTGTGAAGGAAACTCCCCTAAGAATTTTGGTACTATGATTATATGAATGCCGTGTACGTGAGGTGACGAGTGCGTACACGCGCTAATTGTTGAAAAACCCTGTTTTCATTAAATACTTATCTATGATTCTCCTTTAATTGAACAATACTAGAGTATGAAACCTCCTGTTTAGCTTAGAAAAGCATGCTTATGTGATTTAATTATCTTACCTGCTTTAACTGCTTACTTGGATTTTGTGTAGCACGTTTAAAGTAGAAATTCCCATGGAAGTTGTTCCAATCCCGTTCAAAAGCTATTCTTTGCTATTGCTTGTGAGTTCCGTGCATAAGCACGGGCCCAACGTGTGAACATAGCAACAATATGAAAGTTAAGAGAAACAGAGCATTTCTTAAGAATATATTTGAAAGGGCAATATTATCCATATGTATTTAAATATTCAAGGAAGCAACCGTACATATCTTCATAGTTTCCAGGTTTCCTTATTGCATTTGTCTCTTTGTTTGTGGAAATCTTGTTGTATTTCGCTGAGTTCTTAGCTTATAATCTCCACATGACCCAACAGAGAGGGAAAAAGTCCCAGTTGAACCACACAAACCATGATGCATTACATTTGTTATGATAGTTCAAATATGAATATGTAAATAACGAAGAATTCAAAACACCTAGTTATCGATATTGCTAATTTGTTGGGGAGTTCTACATGTACATCTATACATGTAGAACTAATACACCATGAACTCTTCTTCAAAGCGTCCAGCTTTTCTTCCACAACATTGATTTTTGTTTCCTTTCGACCCTTCCGAGTCTTCTTTGTCTTATCAGGTATAGTAAGTGAGCAGTGAGTGAGATGTCTATGTCTCTGTTTCTAATTTGGTCACGTATGGCATCGACACCAGAAGTAGTTAGAATTGCTTCAACATTATCACTTCACTTCAACCTCTTCACCTTCCAAATCTACCACATCAACAATCGGTAACATTACAACGTGTAGAGAATGTATAAGCACATAGGTAAGACTATTTCGGGAAAGAGCCGCAAATATCATAGAAACGATGGATAACCTGTTAATTGTTAAATCTCGATCAAATGATTCACCGCAGGTTCCAAGTAATAACAATGAATAGCTGAATAATTTCTCGCGATCTCTCAAAATATCCTTTTATAACATTTCAATAGATTCATGTCCTTGTAATACATGCTGATTCCTTTTTTTTTTATAAGGATACATGTTGATACTAACTATCATACAAAGAAACAAAATCTAGATAACAATAGGATCAAACGATTTATTGCTCTTTAAAAAAGAAAAAGAAGTCTAGAACCTACATTTTTGTACTTCCATCAAATAGTTATATAACAAATTAGTATAACCTTATAGAACTAGTTTCTCGGTACGTGCGTTGCACGTGTATATCGAATCATACATTACATGAATTTAGAAAATAAAATTAATATTATTAAGCTAACGCTTATACATGAAATAATATATAGTAAAAATGTCTGCAAATTATTAATGTTTGATCGTCGTATGGTTGGAGCGACAAAACGATCAAAGAAAGTGCCACATTTCATAAAACAAGAAAACTTGGAACATATATTAAAACTTGATGTCAGTGACTATTTAAAATTTGTACGTTGTTGTGACTAACACAACCAGTGGCCGGTGTGGCTATAACAATCCAAAGTTGTTTGCAAATTTAATAATCATGCCTTTAATTTTAAGAAAAGCAGTCAAATGTACCCCTGTTAGTTTTTTTGTTTGTTGTCTTTTGGTGGAAGTTCGCTACTAATCTTGAACATTCCCTAAAAAACAAAGGAAAAAAAAAAGTTAACATAAAGCAAGCATGAGAAATTAGTTACAATAATCATAGAATGCAGAGTTAGTACACTCACAAAAGTTGATCTTTGAGATTGCGTGCAACTTGCAAGTTTTATTCCATTGTCTAACACCACAAAGTGTGCATAAGATTACAGCAGTAGCGATAAAGTATGGTGGCAATTTAAGCATGTCACATTCCATCAGGCAAAGCGCAATCAAGAAGAACGAAAGTAGCACAAGCTGTTAAAGGAGTACAAAGTCAAAGAAAGCAACACGTTCTATACTGCAAAAAGGCCAAGAATCTCAAAATCCAAGAGTTACACTAACCTTTTATCCGCTTGAGCAACCTTGAGAATTCTTCTTACAAAAATATATGCAGTTGGAACTGATATATTAAACTGAAGAGTGTTGAATATCATTATTTCCTACAGGAATGTGATCTTTACTAATAGTTTGAAGGTAGACGAAAATATAGTGTTAGTTGACATCGATAGAAAATTGTTAGCTAACATTTCAAAGAATCTTCTTCCTTGTGTATGCTTTATCCAAAATGAACACCATATCATCCACTATTGGAAGAGAAATTGCATCATATTTGCATGCTAGTAGCGTGGCAACCAGCCCAATCTATCTATCAAGTTAACAGTTAGGGATATTACTCTTTTCTTCTGAGCTCAAACTTGTGATGTATCATTTAGAATAAGCAATTAACATAATTATTAAGAATTTGATTTTGCTCTCTCCTATTCTTCCATTGGGAGTAAAAGTTTAAGTACCTCAATAAGCTCGTCTAATTAGTATAGATCTCATCTTCTACTTGAGGTCAAACAGTTGTGGCATATAATTTGGCGAGATACGGCTGCAGCCTTCCATGCATATAATGAACATTATTTAGTCACATCAAATGGCATGTAATTGTTGTTAAACATTAAACCAAGATGGTACTTCGATCGAACATGTGCATCAGAAACTACGTCATTAAAATCTTAAGAAACTGCAAGAATTATCTCATCAAAAATCAAATTTTTTTTAACCTTGAAAGACAGTATGTACTATGACCAAAAATACCTGGTTTTGTCCATTGAAAAAGATCCACCGGCAAAACCATTTACACTTAATTACCATATCACAACTTTAAAATAACTTCTAGAACCGACAAAACCAAAACAACAGAATCTAAAATTACTAATATTACAGGGGCGACTCAATACATTTTGAGGCCTAAAGCCAAACTTTTATAAGAGGCTTTACATTATTTTGAAACTTATTCTCTAGTTTAAGATGCGACGCAATTAATTGATTTTTCTAATTTTTTTGAGTTTTGGATAACCATATTTATATTTTCAGTTGAATATTTAAATTCTTATAAAGAACAAAAAATAATATATGCCTATGCAGAACAATCCTAAAAATTGAAAATTCTAAAGTAAAAATCTCAAGAAAAATTTGAAGAGTGACATCGAGAGAAATCATTTTTGCTAATGCCTCAAAGGCATTCACTTTAATTTACAATTACTAATAATAACTTTCTTTTATAATAACAACTAAATAATTACTCTTTTTGCTTTACTTTGTTTATCATAGTTTGACTTCACACAAAGTTTAACAAAGAATGAAAATTTTTGAAACTTGTGATATTATATATGTCATTACATCCTTGTGACGGTAAACTTTTGAAACTTGTAGTATAAAAAATATTGTGTAGCTATAAAAAATTAAATTAAAAATACATAAATATATCATTCTTTTCAAAATAAATAAAAAAATTAATGTCAAACAAAATGGAACAAAATAGTATGTAAGTCATGAACTCTAATTTTTTTGGCCTAAACTTCTCAGTGGCCTAAAGCGACGATTTCACTCGCTTGGCGCTGGAGTCGCCTTGATTACTATTTCTAATGATCTAATTCCACTTTAAACTTTAACTGATGATGAAAGTCCTCTTCCATTAAAGTCTTTAAACAATTGACTATATATCTTTTGACATTTCAAAGGCTATTGAGAGAAAAATATAGTAAAGCATAAATTTCCTATTATAGTATGAACGTTCAACAACTATTGTGATTCAAGACTATTGTGAATCAATCAAATCTTTCCGATTAGTGTTGAGACCCTTGGGTTATGGTTTTTATAGCAAGAACGAATAACAATCCAAAGTGAATATTAATCAAATCACTGCCAAGGACAGAGCATTATTCATGTCTATTGAACCACAAGTGGCTTATAAGAATAATGATGAAAATAGAACCTAAGCACATGATAAACATGAGTAAGGCGAAAAGAGCAGTGATCAATTCTATTGCCACAACTTCTGAATGACTAAGCAAACCTAAGAGTCGTGAGTTCTGATATTTAACATTGAGAAGGAATTATGTCAACCTCCTCTAGGACATATGTCCATACATTATGCAACATTGAATCAATAAAAAGATAAGTCATGACTACAGTCAGTCTCTAAAAATTATATATAGGAGGATGAACACTAATCCAGGCTTGCTTAAATATATTACGTATTCAAGCAATACATGTTAGAGTAACCAATAAATATTACTCCTGTAGTCATCTCCAAATTGTAAGCTATAATAACAATTACAATCATTTTACAGAACCTATCTAAATTCAATAACAAATTGTAAAAGTAGATTTAGAAACCCATTTATAAGGTATCCATATCAGAAAATAGTTGAGAATCATGAGAAGTTTCTCTAGATATGAACGTTTTCTGCTATGTAAACAAGAGTGAATTCAAGAACCTGGAAGTTAACTGAGGAGATCGAACTCTTTTCTCTTTGCACTGACAGCCTAAGTAGTCACGGAGAGATAACTGCTATGGCTAGATTAAAATGGCGATGGAAAATTATCGCTGTCTTTGTTATGCTGCACCCTTATTCCCCTTTCTCCTGTAAGGCGGCAATAGTACAGTGTATCGGTTGAAGAAAGCAAACAACAGATGCGACCTTCTAAACCTAGTAGAGCGGTTTATGTCATGATACTATTAGGAAGGAGCGTATCCTGTCATAGATAGTAACGTATTCTCCGAATGAGCACGTCGGTTCGTATCTAAGTGTAGATTAGGGTACGTAATTAAGTTTCTTTTTCGTTCAATAATTACGTAATTGAGTTATTAAAAAAAGAAGGGTAATAAAGTAATTTAACTTTTCAATTAAGGGCTTCCCACTTTTATAATAATATAGATAGATAAGTGTCTTAAAACTTTTAGCAAATGCATTCCATATGCTCGTACTCTAGGATACTAATAAAATATCTGAAAAAGTCATTAGCCACAGAAAAGAAAACTCAAAACCTGCCAAAGTATCGTGAGCGAAAAAAATTAAAGGAAGAGTTACCTCCAATTTCCCTATTTGACAGCTAGCTTCATTTTCTGTTAAAAGAGTAGCAGTGGCAAGCTGCCGTAGACGCTGCTTCTTTGAATAGTTACTGCCTATTGTCTTGACTGACATATTTTGGCTAGGCAAAAATATCCCTTTTGGGATTATTTTCAATATGCATTGAACTCCTGTAGAACATGTGACAACGTAAGTACAAAGATTTTGGAATATATTTGATGGTAACATAGTCAGTAGGTATTTAACTTAGGCCCCGTTTGGCCATGAGTTTTGCCAAAATAAATTTGGGATTTATTTTCAAAACTCATGTTTGACCATAAATTTTGCCCATATTTTGGCCAAATCCCAAATCCCAAATCCCAAATTTCAAATCCCAAAATCAGCTATTGGGCCAAAATTCCAAAACTTGGGAATTATATACATGTTTTTCCAAAATAAAGTTGGAAAATATGGTTTGAAAACGTATGTCCAAACACATTTTCATCTTCAAACCAAACTTCATCGAAATCAGATTTTTCAAAATAAATTTGGGATCTATGGCCAAACGCTAGCTTAATAACTTGAGAAATGAAAAAATAATTCTACAAAGAATTTAGAAGAAAAGATACTCACACTCTCTTATATTTCTTTGGAGATTAGAGAGATTCGGAGTTATGTCCTCCTCCTTCAAGTTCCTAAAAATACAAATACATATTTAGCATTTATAATTCTTTTCTTGTATGAGTGTTGGCCAAGAACTTGAACCAACATTAAGAAAACCACGGCTTTTGACAAATTAAACTCATTGGCCTCTTCTTTAGTATTAGGCCGCCATTCTGCTTCATGTTTTTCTCATCCCTTTCATCATCGATAGCTTTTAATTTTCACACAAAACAAAAATCATCTGAATCTGCACGTGAATCCAAATTAACATCTGAACCATGATCAGCAACAAAAATGTCAAAACAAATTAATGGCTAGTGAGTCACGAATCATTTAACGGACAACAAAAATTAGAATGTCAAAACACTAGGACAACTTGCCCATACAACTCAAAGTCACCTAGAATAGTAAATTGAGGGAAAGCATAACAAAATCTACAAATGTCTCCTTTTTTAAAAAATATCATACCAAAAAATCAAAGTAGAGCTGTATAATGAAATACTCAAAATTGCCAAATACATGTGAAATGCTTAAAATACCATATATAGAAATAATTAGAAAATGGAAAAATATATGTGAAAGGTTGCTAAACTCTTCATCGGTCAAGAGGGATTCTCACATTACAAGTCTACATGATTGTCTAAACTAAATTAGAAGATATATATTGTGCAATAGCTTGTTCAGTTGGAGGATTGAAGCGTAGTTACCAACTGGTCTACGAGATGTAAATTTAGTCTTCAAAATCTATCTACTATATATATTGTAGATATGTTTTGAAAAGGGGTCCCTTACAAGTAATAAGATCTTAACTCTACAATCAAAAATCTAGAAGTCATTTGAGATAACCTATCAAACTACTTTCATCAAAACCAATATATTTTTTAGGTTTGTCCTATTTGCTTTTGTTTTACATTTAAGCAAGCTGCAGGGTAGTTTAACTATTGATGAATCCTCCTCCTGTGCACTAAAGTTCAGTCCGCAATTTCTATTTTATTATATAGAGCTTCTTTTCTTATTCATTTTTTTTCCACTCATTTTTTCCCCAAAAAACTTAAATGGATTAGCTAGATATCTTTACTCTATAGTTTGCATGAATCTCTGGAACATCAAGGTCTTATGATTAAAAGAAGAACTATAATCATGCAATTAAGAAAGAAGGAAACTATCAGTGTTACACTGGCCATCCCTTGTGAGTTCCTCTTTCTATTGGATTGAATAAAAGGAACTTATTTTATTTCACATTAATACATTGAACTAAATTATTTAACTTTATATAACTTGTAAAAGAAACGCAACTATTAAGTCGTCTTCTTTTTTTTGTTAAGAAAAACACAGTAAACTAAAATTCAATTGTTTTAAGCATATTCACAAACAGCTTGGGTGCATTTCTAAGCATAATGCAAACACAACCTCATTTTCAGTCTCTATACCAAATAAACAAACCAATGCAGAAGCTAGAAAAGGAAAGCCAGCATAACATGTCTCATGCAGAGGAATTTACATAAGGATTATATATGGAGTAAGAGAAAACTCACATAAATAGATACTCAACCAAATTCAAAAAGGTAAAATCGGAACAAAACTCACCAGAAATCAAAAATCATAGAAGACACTCACAAATTGGAATCAAAATGGAAAACTTTGGTACGAACCCAGAAGCTAAGTCCAAAACAGGAGAAAGAAAGAAATAACATATTTAGGATTTCTATGAAAATTAAGCGAAAAGGAAGACAAACCTGTAATGGGGCATTGAGAAAGAAAACAAACACAAATTGGCGTCCATTAGAAATTAAAGGTGTAGTTGACCCTAAATTCGTGGTGCTTGGAGATGGAAACCAAGATTTTTCGCATCGATTTGTTTTTTAGCCTCCATTTGTTGCACATGAAAGTTGTCGAAGAGACGGGCATCTGAAAATAAGTGGAATGAGAAGCCGGTTGTTTTTAACGAATTTAATGATGATTTTCGAACAGGAAATGAAAAGTCGCTCTGACTTTGATCGACTTGCCCGCACATGTTTTTTTTGAGAGAAGAGGCTCGTTAGACCGTTTGTAGCACTCATAGCTATTATTTCCTAATAATTGATGTACCTCACAAGCAAACTTGATAAATCTCGATGAGCCTTCAATTGTGTGCCTTAATAATAAGCAGAATCCCTCAAGGTTATAAGTCTCCCATGGCGGGACTTCATCTTAATTATTTCTCAGGAGATAGTGCAAAAAAGAAAAGCATATCATGCTCAAAGTTAATGATTTTATAATGAGAATCTGTGGCAGAATGGCATCCAATTTCTAATCTTGCCTTCAGGTGAAAGAGAACACACAACACCTTGGTCAAAATTTTGAAACTGTTTGAACATTCATGGTGAAGTGCGAGAGTGGGAAAGGAAAACAATCTTACATAAAATAGGACTGAATACTTTGTTTGCCTATTGATTTGATCTAATTTATGACATGAAGTCTTATGCAATGTCGTCACTGCTAAAGGCATCAATGACATAATAAAATTAGTAATATTTTGCTACCTTATCTAATCACAATAACATGCATGCCCATTGTGAGGGATATGGGGAGAGTAGGTGTATGTATTTGTAACCATAAAAGGCCATATCTTAAACCTGGTGAGCTAAACAAAGAAATTAGGCGTGACGCACCTAGAACCAAGTAAGACCTCTGATTATATGATGTAAAACATTTGTAACCTAAAAACACATCTCAACAGAAAAATGGGAGCTATTTACGTCAACAAAAGTTAATCCGCAATTTAGTTCAAAAGGGACAACCATGCCAAATAAAATAAATTGTACTCAATTTATTGTATCTATTCTTCTTTATTCATTTTAAGAACAACTCTGATGTGGATTGTATTGTAAACATTCTGATCCAGCTGGAGGGGGAGACCCCAAAGTTATTAGTTTAGATAGAATGACCTCATTTATTTCCTTGCTTTCATCCTTAAAGCGTGTGCCGACTCATGTGGTACTTATTTAATGAAGTTGAAATAGAAATTAAGATTAGAATCTATAACTCGTATCCGAATTATTTAAAATTCAAATTGGTAGAGAGATAAATTATACAATGCAGCAATATTTTTGCTAATTATCTTCTTGGGAATCATTTAGGGGGATGCTAAAAGTTGCAATCATACATTTGACAACATTGATGAGATTTCAGCAATCCACTTGGTGCTTCGGAAAGACACAGAAAAATGTTATTGAATTAGATAGGAACAAAACTCGAACTAATTCAACATCAACTATGCTTCCCTAGATCAAAAACCCTGCAATCAAAATGCTTTCTCCTTCTGGTTTTTTTCCGCTCAATTTTTGTTTTAATTTTGTTGTTTATTTTTATTTTTTATATATGCTTGTAACTGCTTTTGATATTCTTTGTACATTTTTTTGGCACTTTTCAGTTTTTCTAATTGCTCTTTCCATGTTGTTCTTCCTCTTCTCTCTATCCACGGGTGAGTCTGTGTAGCAAAGGCTACTAAACTAGCAAGTAACAGCAGCACTTTGATTATATTGAATATATCAACTGGAAATTACAATTAAAAAAATGACAATAAGAAGAAGCTGGAGGTGAGAAGCAGAAGAAGGGGATGAAAGGAGTGGGATGAGAAGGGAATATTTTCATAACAACTTTTTCCTTCGTCACCACAATACCTACGTCTGCTATATATAACTGACTCCTGGCCCACACTTTTATTTAGCACTCACTACATAATCCATTAGCTTTGCAGGTGGTTGTTTCTTGCGTTTGCCTCTACCCAGATTGCCCTTCATCACTTCATTACCCAATTCATTCTCAATTGCCATATCAGCTTCCAACTCATCCGCCTTGTCAGCTTCGTCGAAGATTGTATTCACAACATTACCCCCATCTCCAACAAGAACCTTGTCCTCAAGGTTCAGCTCGCTCGGAAGCATAGCAGCAGCAAAATCAGTCAGTTGAAGAGGTGTAATCTGATTGTCAGGCTGGCCCATACACTTCTTGAGCATGAATATATGAAAGACAGGATGGATCCTAGCCGCAGCTGGCAGCTCCAGCTTATAGGCAACATCTCCTACCCTTTTCAAGATGCGAAATGGCCCAAAATATTTTCTACCCAGCTTATGTTGCTTTTGCAGTCGCACAGAATGTTGACGATACGGTTTAAGCTTCACATAGACCCACTCCCCGACTTCATAGTGTAGTTCTGTTCGATGTTTATCAGCCAAGGATTTCATCCGTTGTTGAGCCTTAGCTAAATTATGCTTTAGGAGTTCAAAAACTGTATCTCGCTGCACAAGGAACTTCTCCACGAGTTCACTACTGCTGCTGCCCAATATATATCGAGCAATAGTAGGTGGCTCTCGACCATAAAGAGCTTGGAAAGGGGTCATTCCTGCTGAAGTTTGTAGAGCTGTGTTGTACCAATATTCTGCCCATGGTAACATAGCCACCCAATCAGCGGGGGATTCAGCCACAAAACAACGAAGATATTGCTCTACACATTTGTTGAGCGCTTCAGATTGACCATCGGTTTGGGGATGGTACGCGGTGCTCATTGCTAACGTGGTGCCCTGCATCCTGTTTAGTTCCTGCCAAAGGGAATGGATAAATCTTGGGTCTCGGTCAGTTACTATTGATCTCGGAGGCCCATGTAACCTGATGACTCCGACAACGAAAGCCTCAGCCACAGTCCGAGTAGAGAATGTTGAGGGTAATGCAATAAAGTGGCCGAATTTAGTCAATCGATCCACTACTGTCATAATAGTGGCTTTGCCCCTTGAAGCTGGAAGGCAGGTGATGAAATCCATTGCTATGTCTTCAAACACCAAATCGGGCGTAGGCAATGGGTGCAATAATCCTGCTGGATGATGGTGGATATCCTTCATCTGTTGACATATTGAACAAGTTGAGACAAACGAATGCACATCCCTCCTCATATTTTTCCAATAAAAATTTGAGGCCACACGGTGCAAAGTTCGGGCTATACCAGCATGTCCCCCAATGGAAGTGGCATGGAATTCCTGTAAAAGTTGGTGTCTAAGAGGGGAATCAGTAGGGATTACCAATCGTCCTTTATAAAATAAAAGACCTTCTCGAAAGGTGAAGTCAATGACAAAGTCTAGTTGCTGCATAATAGATGTCTGAATGTCAAGCAACTCCGGGTGGTTCTTGTTGAGTTCTCTCAATTCTTCAACAAGGGCAGGTATTTGCATAGTAATGGCCAAATAAGTGGCATCAGGGGCTCGTGAGAGAGCATCAGCTGCTAAATTCTGTTTCCCGGGGCGATATAGTATGCGAAAATCATACCCGACTAACTTACACAGCCACTTCTGTTGTTCCGGGGTTTGGATGACTTGCGTGGTAAGGTTACGGAGAGCTTGTTGGTCTGTAAGTATTGTGAATCTTCTGCCAAGCAAGTATTGACGCCATTTACTAACAGCTTGTGTAATGGCAAACATTTCACGGTGATAGGTGGAAGCTCCTTGCATTCGGGGGCTTAATTTTTGACTGAAGAATGCCACAAGATGTCCCTTCTGAGACAGTACAACACCAATCCCAACTCCTGAAGCATCTGTTTCCACCTGAAACTCATGACTAAAATCGGGCAAAGCAAGGACAGGGGTAGAGCTCAAGCATGCTTTCAAGGTTTCAAAGGCCTTTTATGCGCGGTCAGTCCACAGAAAAGCATCACGACACAGTAAGTCAGTTAAAGGAGCAGCAATAGAAGCGTAATGATGGATAAAACGCCTGTAATACCCAGTTAGCCCCAAAAAACTCCGGACCTCCTTGATATTTCGTGGAGCTGGCCATTGCTGTATAATGGCAATTTTGCTAGGATCCACAGCCAATCCATGAACAGATAATACATGTCCAAGGTAATCAACAGTTGTCTGCCCAAACGAACACTTGCTCTGCTTCGCCACTAAACTGTGTTGACGTAACAGTTTCAACACTAAACTAAGATGTTCCAGATGACCAGCCCAAGTTGGACTGTAGACGAGAATATCGTCAAAGAAGACCAACAGAAAACGGCGCAAGTAGGGACGAAAAACGGAGTTCATGGTAGCTTGAAAAGTGGATGGCGCATTAGACAACCCGAATGGCATAACCAAAAATTCAAAGTGACCGTCATGGGTTCTAAATGCTGTCTTTTCAATATCCTCGACCCGTACCCGAATTTGATGATACCCTGATAGCAAATCCAGTTTGGAGAAGAACTGCGCGCCATGTAATTCATCGAACAGTTCGTCGATTGTAGGAATTGGGAAACGATCGCGCACAGTGATAGCATTGAGTGCACGATAGTCCACACAAAAACGCCAGGTACCATCTTTTTTTCGAACTAGTAATACTGGCGATGAAAAAGGACTCGTACTAGGTCGAATGACCCCTTCTTTGAGCATTTCTGAAACCAGTTGTTCCATAAGTTGTTTCTGGAAGTATGGATAGCGATACGGTTTTACATTCACGGGACCGGAACCAGGCTGCAAATGGATCGCATGATCTTGAGGACGCACTGGGGGAAGGCCTTGGGGTTTCTGAAAAGCATCAGCAAAGGAAGTGAGTAAGTCCTGAAGCTCGGTAGGTGGAGACCCCGTAGGTACAGACTCAGAAACCACTTGTTCATCCTGAACTAGTTCCAACCGAAAAAATGAAGAGATGGCATCTGTTGAAGCTAAACGACGCAAACTGTGCAATTGCACTGGTTGAAGCATAGTTGGTGGTTCACCTTGCCATCTCATGGTGCTGCCATTGTGAGAGAACTCAAGGATATGCGTGGCATAATCAGTGAGAACCGGGACCAAAGTGGCCAACCATGACACCCCAGACAAAATCAGCACCATGTAGGGCCAACACATAAAAATCCAAAACGAGCTCACAGCCTTGGATAGTGAGGGGGATTTGCCGAAAAATCGCGCGATCACAGCGTAAACGCGCATCACAGCGTAAACGCTGTCCACTACCCACCACGACATAAAAACTCGGAATTGGTTCAATGGTCAATTGAAGGAAAGTCGCGATCCTAGTCTGAATGAAATTATCTGTACTACCGCCATCAACGAGGACCTGAACCGGCGAACCATTCACATGGCCGGCAAACCTAAGAGTATTTGGAGCATGACCGCCAGCTAGAGCATGGAAGGAAATAGAACAGTGCTCTTGCACCTCAAGGCATTGAAGTTCTTCCGCTAGAGCTTCGTCAGAAAGTGGAAACTCCGGGAACTGAGTGGTAGTGTCGTGCTCTTCAGTTAACAAAAGGAGCTGAGGAAGATTTTTACACTTATGAGAAGCAGAGTACTTCTCATCACAATAATAACAAAGTCCTTTCTCCCGACGACCCTGAATTTCGGCAGGAGTGAGACGTTTGAGGGGTAGACGGCCAGGCAACGTTTGTGATTTTGGGGTTGGACGTGGGTTAGGGATTGTAGAGTACGGTGGAGCAGATGGGGTAGGCAACAAGGGCTGTGTACGGGCCAAGGCTGGTTGGATTGGGCTCCGGGTAAAAGCTGTTTGTACTGGGCCTTTTTCAAAATTAATACGCCTCTC